ATAAGCAAAAGAGTAAAATTTACCAAAAGTCCACAGAGAATGTGGCAGACGGTATTTTCTGAAGGTGGCTATATAATGACTTCCTCTGATCTAATATGTTGATTGTCAAGGTACCTACTTAGAAGCTACTTATGCATTTTAATTTTAGAATTAGACCTTAAAAATCCCACCAAAATCAGCACTAAAAAGAAAAAAAAAAAAAGGAGGGGAGAGCTTTAAAAAAATGATAGCAAAAGTCTGGAAATACTTTTGCAATTACAATCAATTGGGGATTTTCCTAGTTATAGCAGCCAAATGGGAAATTTAAAACAATAACAAAACTATGTATATATAGTATTAGTTAATGGCTATGACACAATAAGCCAAAAACAAGAAAAAAAGTGCATGCACACAAAAAGGAAATAAAGCTTTTATTTTTATCTCCCTTCTCTCAAATAGCCTGACTCTTATTCCTTCTGACATGTACACAAATCAATGAAGCACAGAACCTGTTTCAATAAACCACTGCTCAGTGACAGAAAACTAAAGCCAGGGTTAACCAATGAACTTCTGACCTATGCTCCTTGCAGAGGTGCTCAGCATACAGGAACCCCCATTGCTCTTCTTGTTGACTGAATTATGCCTGAACATTAGCTTAGTTCAGAAATTATCACAAATCCTGCTCCAGTCAAAATGGCTTCCAAACAGATCAGTGGTTCCTCAAAAACACACAATCCTAAACATAGAATTAGCATGATCCAGCAATTCCACCCATAGGTGTATGTATGTGTGTGTATGTGTGTGTGTGTGTATGTGTGTGTGTGTGTGTGTGTGTGTGTGTGTGTGTGTATGTCTCCAAAAGAACTGAAAATGGGCTTAACCGTACCATTGTATGCCAGTTTTCACCACAGGAGCTAACCCAAAGGTGGAAGCAGCCCAAGTGTCTGACAGGTGAATGGATAAACAAAATGTGGTATCCTATATAATAAAAGCCTAATATGCTAGGTGTCTGGTTGTCTGGTTGTCCATTCAACCAATCAAAGCATAATATGCTAAGGCCACTCAACTGCTCGCTATGACGTGCACTGACCACCAGGAGACAGACAGTTGACCAGTTGACCAGTAGCTATGACATGCACTGACCACTAGGGGCAGATGCTCCTACTGGTAGGTTAGCTTGCTGCTGTGATCTGGCTGATCGGAACTGAGCAAGATGGGCCGGACATGCCCTGGAGCCTTCCCCTGGTCCCTCCCCGGCTGACCAACCTCCCGTGTCCTTCCCTAGCCCTGACTGTGCACTGGTGGGGTCCCTTGGCCTGGCCTGCACCCTCTTGCAATCTGGGACCCCTCAAGGATGTTGGAGAGCCAGTTTTGGCCTGATCCCACAGGCCAGGCCGAGGGATCCCACTGGTGCATGAATTTGTGCACCTGGCCTCTAGTATGATATAACGGAATACCATTCAGTCAGAAAAAGCAAGGAGAAATTCACTATGAAAATGGCCCCTCTACTAACAAATACCAAAGAGATTCAGAAGCATTCAATACATCAAATAGATAAAATATTTTAAGAAAAATGAGCAAATTTTAAGTGCAGCTCAAATGCTTACACTGAGAAACAGCTACGTCTAATTCAGGACTATTTATCAGTATAAACACTATTGAACACCTATTTAAAAGTCTTAGCCAAGTCAAGGAGACTTGACTTGGGTGGTGAACACACAATACAATATACAGATGATGTATTATAAAATTGTACACCTGAAACCTATATCATTTTATTAACCAATATCATCCCAATAAATTCAGTTTTTTAAAAAAAATTCCATGAAAAATAAAAGTCTTAGCCAGACTGACTCCTCTAGAAAAAGCAATATACTGATACTGCTTTATATGCTAGGCCCAATTTTAAAACAATAAATGAGATGAAGCATATGCATTTGGTTCATCTTCTTTTTGTTTGTATTTGTGACCAATATAGATATTTTATGTTGTGTAATTAAGATGTAAAACCTTAAATTAAAGTACAGGGGATATTACAGGAAAAAGGACTCATCTTAGGTTTAGTTAGGTGATTAGTATTTAATAGTATATTTGAGGACCATCTGTAATTCCTGAACACTTCTATGTTACCACAAAAGCATTACTCAGATGTGTTGCTTTACTTCCTGATATGTCCGCATGACCGTTCCCTATTTTTTCATAGAGCATTCTCCCTGTATTTTTCTCCACCTCAGCCAAACCTCTCACCTCCAATATCAATTTTTTTCAGATGTTTCAATGAAAGCTGGCATTTACATTCAAATAAAAACAATTAGAAAATTATGAAATGGAGAATATCAAGTATATATTACAAGGAATTTTCAGAAAATCACAAAAGCTTACTAACATATCTTATTGTTAATGAAAATTACAGGAACTCACTCAAGTTAGAAAAATGAATGCTTGTATACCAGCCAGAGAAATATTTGTGGAAAACAATACTCTTAATTGTTAAAAAACATTTAGATTTTTTTATGATATCATGAGACTATTTTTTTAATTTTATCTAGATACAAAATATAATTACATTTTAATGAAAATAAGATATAGATACTACAATATGGTATTTTTAATTTTATTTTTATTGAATTTATTGGGGTGACATTGCTTAATAAAATTATGCAGGTTTCAGATGTACAATTCACCTTCCATCACCATTTATTCCCCCTTTACCTCCTTTTGCTTCCCCCACACTCCACTCCCCCACCCCCAGCAATCATCATACTGCTGTGTCAATGAGTCTTTCTTTTTTTTCTTTGCTTAAACTGTCAGAGGTGACAGGGTGGGGCTCTGGCTGAGAGGGGTGAAGGGATTATGCAATATGCTGTTTTTAAAATGTAATGTACTACTCCAGACTCTGTTCCCAAAATAATAATACACTTTCTGTAATAACAAAGCCAAACTACTTCTGTTTCCTTAGCGTTTTCCCTTATTCTCAGTTGGAAAATTAAAAATGGTTTGAAAATCTCAGTCACTTTTCATGTCTGTTCCCTTTATGGTTATAAGAAAATGTTATTATGACTCTCAAACTGGTTCTCAGAAAACTATATTGTGCATAAATGTTAATTTCTTTTTTTACCTATGCAACTTTAATATAAATTATATTATCTAAATATTCATTAGGTATTCATATAATAAAGAATAACAATAAAGAAAAAGTATAAAGGTCACTGCCTCTGCAATAAATATGCAGCCTCTTTTCTGGTTAGTGGTTTGTCTTTCACGTCACTTGTTGCTCAATAAAGACTAACACTTTAGCCCTGACCAGTGGGGCTCAGTTGGTTGGGCATATTCCCAAGCACCTGAAAGGTTGCAGGTTTGATCCCCAGTGATGGCACATGCCCGGGTTGTGGGCTCTATCCTTGCCAGGGGGCATGCAGGAGGCAGCCAATCAATGTTTCCTCTCACACTGATGTCTGTCTGTCTGTCTCTCTCTCCCTCCCTCCCTCCGTCCCCCACTCCCTCCCTTTCCTTTCTTCTCTACCTGAAAACCAATAAAAAAATCTTTTAAAAAGAAAAAGACTAGCTCAGGTGTTTCTACAAACTATCTGAACAGATGAAAAAAAAACCTGAATAGTGCAGTTAGAATATAAAGAATATGCAGACAATAGTAATTTCATATCTCAAAGTAATCAATTCTATGATGGTCACTAGTAAAAAATTAGAATTAAAAAATAGGAACTGATTTGTATTAAGAACACACTGAATTTATCTCTAGATAGACATCTTGGTAATTAAGAACTAAAAAAACTCTACAAATATTTTCTTTTATTTATAGAAATGTTAAAGAAACCATTACTTTTAATACACCTTAATGATTGAGAATTTTAGGCAGAATACCTTCCCTAATTAAAATCACCTATTAATGTGAGACACAACAAGAGACAGACTAGACTGACAAGGAGACTGGAACCAGGTGCTTTTCTTTTATTATCTAACATCACTGACCATTCAAGGTCTTCCTCCTAATAACTAAGAGAAGAAGAAAAAGAGCTTTGCTGTTTTCTTGTGCATAAACTACCCCTCAAATATTTGTTCTCTCTTCTCTCTCTAATTAACAGAACCCTAACTTATTAGCTGGGCACACTAACACCTAGGAAAGATTGTGTCTCACCCTCTCTTACAGAGGGCATAGGCATATGATCAAGTTCTGGCCAATGAGGGATAAGCAGTAGTGAAATGTGGGACTTCCAGAAATTCTACTTTAAAAGAAAGGGCAGCACCTTCTTCTAAGACTTCCTTTATTGAGAGCTTACTATGGAATTGCACCATGCACGGTCTCATGTAGTCATCTTTGGAAGTAAGCTATCAATAAGGACTATTAGGTACTACTATCACCATTTTAAATACAGGGATTTAGTCAACTCGCTCAAGATTTCACAGTTCATTAACTGGCAAAGCTGGGCTTGGAACTCAGGTCTGTGTAACTCCAAAGTTCATACCATTAACCACTGTGTTATAATTTCACTGAAAATTCTTTAAGTTCTTCATTCTTTTATATCATGGGGGAAATTAAAATTTACAAGTCACTCTGTGGATGGAGGCAGTGGGATTATCAATTCATTGTAAAACCTAGAACAATTTCAGAGGGCACCAAGGTGCCTGGAAGAAGCCACAAGAGTCTTGGTGTGTTGGCTATTTTTAACTGATTTTTAGTTATCTTAAGTACATAGAACCCAACATTTGAGTTTACTATAACAAATGACAGAAAGTCTAAGCGTTACTTTCAAAAGCCCTGGAAAAAAAACCCTCATATTTCTTCATATAGTAACTAAGAGAGTCAAAAACATACCCAATATTCTGACATATCTCCTAAAGATATAGTTGTAGAATGACTATAACATATTTACTCTTTCTAAAGCACACCAAACTACAAACTATAAGCTGGTGCCATCTTTTTAAAAAAAGAAAGCAGCAATAAGACTAAGGTCTCTAGAAGAAAGTTATTCAAATAAGATTAAAAGAATTTCAGAAGACAATACCTTCAATGCTTGGCTGCATTTCTTCTGTTTTTGGAACAAAAATTCTGATTACGCTTGTGTTGATGTAAATCAAAGGTAAATTGCGTGAAGTTACTGTATGGGTCCTCATGGGCTGACCAGGAGATTTTCTTTTCTCTTTTTGGGTCCTTGGTAATTTTGCTTGAAATATACTTGCAATGGCATTAAGTAAAGGAAAACACAGGACAATATCAAACGCTTGTGATGAGAGAAGAATTTCATGAAGAAAATGAGGGGACCCATCCGTTAGACCTTCAGATAACTTATGAAAACTTCTTCGCTCATTTCTTGATATTAACTTGTGGCGGACATTTTTTGTTACAGCTTTTGTGTATGTCAAAGAAAGAAATCCATGCTGCTGATGAGAGCCATCTAGAAGTTTTGTAGTTGTCTGTTCCAGAAAAAAGGAAATCACAATATACATTTCATTAAAAAAAATCTATTTGAAAGCAGAAAATCATCTCAGATGGTAATATAACGTTTTATCATGTCTATACCTCTTAATGAACACATTACAGAACAATTCTGCAGATGGGGCAAAAGATGGGACCATTGGTATGACTGAACTGAAAGTTAGGAATCCTGAGTTCTAGTTGTAGGTGTTGAGAGAGGTAATTAACCTCTTTGTGTCTCTTTCTGTGACTTGTACATTTTTGTAACATTCAGAATTTGGAAAAGATCATCTCTAGGTTTTACCTTTTCATTCTTGTTAATTTATCATTAAGAAAACACATATTCTGTCACATATGGGCCACAGAAGAGTTGTTCATGCAGGTGAAATTTAAATAACCATGTTATTTATTTCCACTTGTGATCAACAACCTGAGTAGAAAAGATAACTGACTTCACTTGACTTACATTTATAAGAACCTTTTTTCCCATTGATAATTTGGCTTATTTATATGAAGGCTGAGCCCATAAAAAGAGCCTAATTGATATCATGCTTTGATAACTAAACTACCATTTAATACATGTTTACTGGAAATGATAACATAACACAAAAACATTTGCCCTTCAAACTTGCCTGTTTCCAGTGGCTATCATATAATTTACAAAACCTATCAACACTTCTACAATTCTCATTCTTTGCGTTCTATACTGCATTAATACATAAACATTTGATTGAGAGTGAAAATTATGTCATTGTAACTTTAATATTTATGACAAAATTTTCCCAATTATCATATTCAAATTGCACATTATAAACAAATTATAGTAAAACAACATACTTATGAGTAAAGTAAAATGCATACTTTGTAACATATGAAAAAAAAATTCTCCACTAGTTTCCCTGAACAAATTAATGTACATAAAATCCTATTTTGAACATCACTCAATATAAAATTAGAGTTATTATAATTCACATTCCTGACCCCTCTTCCCAAGGCTTAATAGCTTTTTTGCTATTAGATTCCAAAGAGTACTGTTAAGAGAGAAGGTGAACCAGGAAGAAGAAAAAGAAGGACGTATGTCCTCCCAAACAGGAAAAACAAGAGAAGTAGCACTGCAGCGCTGTGTCTGAATCCAT